AATATACCTATATATTTATATTATGGATCTAGGATATAGTTTTTTATATAGATAGATACTTAAGAGAGATATATCTGTAGTAACTTTCCCAGAGTTGCCTGGCATCTTAAAAGTGGTTTGGTCTCATGTCATACTTCTTTAGGCAGCAGAAAATCCCAAGAGCTTTCAGGCACTACTAGAGCTATGGACTTACAATTAAATAAACTTCATAGCAAATTCTCTAATTGCACAATTCCACTGTTTTCTTTTGAGCTTCCCATAGTGGCCTTCATATAAAGACATATATAAAGCAGGTCTCTTACAATACAAGATTTCCAATATAGGCTTAGTAATACTGACAATCATGCTATATTCATTTTATAAGCATTCTCCCAGCCTAATACATGGACTATATAATGAAGTGAAACTAAGTTCTTGAACTTTTTTCCCCCTGCAGAAAATTTTATGGTTTTAGTACTCTCCACATCCAGCCCCCTTAGATTCTATTCCCAATTATGTCACAGAAAAGTATTAGGAAAAATACTTTGTCCTTTTAAATATAACTTAAAGAAGTAATAATGCTATCAGAATTATAATCAGCCAGCTTTTTGCCAGCTAGCATCTACTGTTCCATGAACGACTGCTTGGGAACCCACAGACAAAAATAGACTTCTTACCCAAAAAGAAGTTCAGCAGCTCAGATTTCTCACACTTCCAGCTTTAATTTGTTTATCAAATATGCATGACAAAACATGTTTATCCAGATAATATAATCACATCAAGAACAACTGCAAAGGTCCTATTAAGAACTTCACTAAATTTTATCATTTACCTAGTTATTGTTCAGCTTTGTGGAAATTATTCCCTCAATGAAAACTGACATACATTAATTTTACTTTTCTTGATGACATGCTGCACGCTAATTCATACACCAGCAGAATTCTAGTAATTTTTGGTACATAATACAGCAGGGGGAAAAAAAGTAGTTAAACAAAAAGTCAGTTCCTGTTTTTAGATCAATTGATCAAGCTTGAAAAAGATAAGCTTTTGGTAATGTTAATTCTAGGCCAAAAAGTTTTCTTACTTTTCCCCACTAGAACAGTTGGTCTAATAACAGAGATTGGCTCTCCTCTAAAGTTTTCTTTGTTTAGCTCTCTATGTTAACAACCGTACTAATGCTAATGAAAGGCTATTATGCTCTCATTAGCTTTCCACAGAATCCATGTTTGATTTAGACTTCACAAAGAACACTTCTAGAAAAACCACCTTGTGCATAATCAAATGCATGTTGGTCTCAGCTTTGTATTACCTGTGAATTATTCCTTTCCCATGCAAATACTCCAGGGCTGATACAATTTCAGCAGTATAAAACCTGGTACAGGTCTCATCAAATGAGCCAATTTTGCGTATATACTTCAGCAGCTCTCCATTTTTGGCATAGCTAAGCCCAAAGTCTGAATTTAAGTATAGTTAAGGTCTATCACAAAACCACTGTAGAACAAAAATCCCCACACCTCATTCCAAAGACAAGAATAATACTAAAAATACATGAACAGGGAAGAAGTGAAGTTGGTTAATTTGAAACTTCACATGGTAGCAATCCAAAAGAGTTTCTTAAACATATTTAACAACCTTGGATGCAGGTCCCAGCTTCTTAGCATAGCAAAGACTACATAAAGGGTTAAATTTGTAGTTTTTCCAGACAGTCACCTGAATAATTCATTTAAACTGTATACATAATTGCCCTCAAAAGAGAACTATTTACAGTCATAACCAGCATTCAACCCAAGTTTAAAATTGCCCCATCATCTGGAAAGTTCCAAAGTTCCCAGTGTTCAACGAGCAAATCACATTACAAAAGAGCCTCTGTAAGTTCTGTTAGTGCACAAGTACATGTGTATGTACATACATGTGATATAGGGCCTGTTAGCACTGCTAGCAGACTCTGTGAGAAACACAACCACTTACTGACCTCAGAAATAGACTGATCTATCCTTTTACCCTTGGCAGAGCCAACTCAAAGCAGGAAGCTTAGGAGGAAATTCACATGATTAACCTTTTCTTCGCAAGAAAAAAAGCTGACTGCAAACCAACAAGCTTTCAAGATGAAACTGCACTTTGCAATTACTGCTAGAGAGAGAACTTGGGAAACAGTGGCCCAAACAGAAGAGTTTCAGCTTTCTATCATTCAGATTATTCTGTAAGCACTTTTACATAGGAAAAGTTTTAATAGATCTAATTGGTCAAATAAGAAATAGTAGTAAATAGAGCTGGCTATTTTAAACATAGGAATTGTGTGTATGTATCAGAAATAAAACATTTCTCATACTTCCCTCAATATTAAAAAAAAATATTTATTTTAAACTTAGATTGTTGCAAGTCACCCGTCAGCATTTACCACATGGACAATGTAAGTTATTTATTCATCTCTTCTGTCCTTCAAGTCACCCACTCTTCTCTTTGAGAGTGCACACTCATTCTATTTGCTTTATTTATTGCAAACATCAAGACATTTTAAATACCTCAAGTTATTTTCATCATTCCTGTTAGACAACGTTTCAAAGGAACCAAAACGGGGGACTGTTAAGAAAATGTTACAGCAAGTTTTAAAATGCAAAGGATACATAGCTTTTCATCATCCTGAAAGGTGAAGTAGAGTTTCACAAAAAAAGGGTGATCCAGGCGGGACATTACATCTCTCTCTCGTGTCACATATGGCACCTTGTTTTCTTTTATGATATGACGTTTTTCTAGAATTTTAACTTAAAAAGAGACAGAGTGAAAAAGCAGGAGATGCAACTAAATTAAGTTCGTCTAAGTAATTTGTTTTGGGGATTTGGGTTAGATAAAATGATTGCAAAACCACTAATTCTCTGTTGTGAACAGGTGTAACAGAACCACATTGATACTGTATTTTTAAAAAGTTCACATTGAAGGAGACAATACTTACTGGCATATTCTCTAGAACTTGCCAATTCTCGAGCCAAGACAACCTGTGGCCAGAGGAGAGAAAATATATTGTAACCATTCATTTAGAATAGTGATTGTTCAAAATAAGCTATCACAATTACAATCAGCAAAATATTTAAGCATGTGTTCATAGTATGCTGGCTTTAGTAAGACCTCTGCAGAAATTCAGTTCAGCATACCAACACTTGTTTTTGCTAAAAGACTTATACACCTGACTGAGTAATCACCAATTTACCTGTCTGGGTTTTTTTCCCAGAAGAATTCTGAAGACTGTAACATAAGTCACAGTAAATTGCCAAATCTTCTTAAAGGGGGAAAAAAAAGCAACAAGCACACTGAGGAATATTTATAAAGATCTAACCATTCACAGAACTTTTTCTTAACATAAGTGGCAAAGATTGAAAGATACATTTTATCTGAAAGATCAAAAGAAAGAAGTGAGACAGAGCTTTCAACTATTTACAGTCTGTTAGGAAAGAGATTTAAAAGAAAGGAATGAGAGATTTCCAATTAGTAGAAGCAAGAGATAAAGTTTCAGGCAAGCAGTTCTACATTTTTCAAGAGAAAAGCTTTTGGAGGAACACAAATTAAAGCTCATCTTCAGGAAAGAACTTCTATAAAAGGCAACTTTTAAGACAATCTGAAAAGTTCTCTTGCATGAAGCCGAACAATAATCTTGTAACACTAGGTGACTACAGTTTGTGTTTTTCTCATTTTAAGTTTATATCCATTCCAATACCTTGCTAGAATCAACATTATACTAATTTATCTTAAATCACTGCACCAGGCTTGCTTCTAATCCACTTCTCATTATATTCTAATCCCTTGCAAAATCAGTTATAACAGAGTACTCCAAAATATTATTACATACACCTGATAAAAGTGTTAGGCATTTAAGAAAAAGAGCTTCTAAATAAGGCACTTTTTCAGGTGAAAGAACTGCACGCAGTTGTGCTCTTTCAGTGTTAGAAAATTGAAACCTCAGTTTAGTAGTAAGAGGCACCTTTAATTTTCTAAAAAAAGTTCATCTTCTACAAACACTGAAGTTCACAGTGAAATTTTCAATGAAAATTTCCACTAGAAACAACCAGTCTGCTAGAAGCTGCATCTCTGCATAAGGAACTTTTGAGACTCTTCTGTGTACACAGGTAAAATTATTTAAAGTTGTAGTCTAAGTACACAGGGCTGAGTATTCACCTCCTAGCAGGAGTACTTGGGTACTCTCAAGTCCCTTCCTCACTCAACAAACCTGAGTATACCATATGCCCTAATTTCCTCCTAGCTAGTAATCAACAAAATCAGTAGACTCAGACACAAGAAAGAAAAGACCCAGAGGTACACACTAATACCATGTCTCTACTATCAAGGGCCTGAATCTTCTCTGCCCCATGGAAAAAAGTAATATCAATAAGGAATGTAAATTCTACAGAAAGGAATCAGACATTAGGTAGGTAGTTTAAAACAAACAAACAAAAACCAAACACATAACCAAATGCATTCACAGAACATGTAAACATGTAAGTTGCAAATTCAGACAAAAGAAAGAAGTGTAAATGTCTCGAACTGGAAAAGGTGAGATAAGAAGAGCAGAGAACCCTTAACAGAGGCTACAAAGCAGAAATAATTGCTAACACAATTGCACACACCATGGCCAAGCCCAATTCTGAATTTGAACAAATACTCAGACTTCCAGAGATTAAGTCTGCATTTAAGAACTGGTTTTGGTCAGACACTCATACTTCCTTAGAGCTCCTCCTCTTTGTAAGAGGAATATCATTTATAGGTGGAGACAAAACCAAGGCAGAGGGGGAAGTACCAGCCATGCAGAAGGAGGTGAGGAGAACCACATGCCTACCCAAACATGAGAATTATAATTCTGCCACCACATAACCAATATTATTCTGAGAGGAGCTTGAAGCTGTCTACAAAGCATGTAGATTTTCATTACTTTAAAAGAGCAGAGCAACAACTAGAAGGCCATGCATTTGTGTATCTGTTAATATCAAGCATGGGTTTAAAGAACCATTACAGCTGCAGAAGAAGGTCCCACAAAATTGCAGAATGCTCTGAAGAAAAATCCTCTGAGGTCAGATCACGTGCATCTCTGCTGAATTTGAAATACAACACTGGCACCAGGTAGAGTTTATGGTAGCTTAATAGAAGTCTAAGAAAATAAAATATATTCATTGTGACCTTGAGTAAATTTTTTTTTAATCTGAAGCTGTCAATGGAGGCTTGGTAATATGAAGGCCCCTGCTTTGAGATGAACACTTTTCAGTCAGAATATCAGCGAAGATCTTGGGGAGTACAATCAGATCTCTGAATCTACAATCATGTTTAGTAAGAAGCGTATGTTTTTTAACAAGATGTTTTGATAACCACATGAAGATACATGTTGCACAGATCAAGAGCTCTGGTGTTGATATATCAGAGGGTTGTGCTGCCATCCAGAGGGACCTCAACAGACTTGAGAATGGGCAGGCAGGAATCTCATGCAGTTCCCATTTTTGAGCTGCAAGGTCCTCCTCCTGGGGAGGAATAACCCCATGAACCAGTATATGCTGTGGGCTGACGGGCTGGAAAGCAGCTTTGCAGAACAGGACCCCGGGTCTTGATAGACACCAATTTGAACATGAGTCAGCAACGTGCCCTTGCCGCAAAGGTGGAGAAAGGTACCCTGGGCTACATTAGGAGGCATGCTGCCAGTATGTTGATGGAGGTGATCCTTCCCCCCAGTCAACACTGATAAGATCAACCTGAAAGTTGCAAACTATGTATTTAAGTGCAAATTATGCCTGATGACTACTAGAGGCCTGCTTCCTAAACACCACAGTAGATTGTATAGAAGAACCAGAAAAACCCAACATTTAGAGATCAACAAACAAAAGGCATATAAAACAAATGACATGTGAAAAAGATACAGAAATATTACTTATTGTCTTACAGTGGGTCAACTACAAAAGCATCAAATGAAACTATTAATTGCTTCATGGGTTCTTGAAGATAACACTTAAGTAATTCATTCTTCCGCAATGCCGTGGATGTGAGAAGTCAGAAACAATCCATTTAAGGCTACAGAATACAAAAATACTAAACTGTGGCTCATGAAGTCCTTGAGAGCCATGACACTAGAGGCTGACAAAGAATATTACAGAAGCGTCACTGTTCTTACTTTCTTCCTTAAACGTCTGGCAGTAGCTTCTGCCACGGACAGGACATTGCATACAAGTTCTTACCATGACAAACTCCTAGCCCAGTTCAAATACTTTATATCATCAAATTTTAACATAACCCATTATGCTATCAAACTTGCATTGAAAGCAATGTCTCCTAAAAATCCAAGCATCAAGTCATCAGAATACAATGGAACTTCTGATGAGTTTAAAAGGTACTTGAAAAATCAGCACCTGTATTTAGTGCAACACTTAATTTTAATAGTTGAACTTAAAACCACTATGTCCCACTCATTCATTCTTCAAGCTGTTCTCTCCAGATTTAAATCTCAGCACTATTACTTGCACAATGAATTTTGAAGTTTATGTAAGATATTTGGCACTTCTTATAAAAAGTAAAGTTACCGTTGAAAAAGATCCTTCACCCAGAATTTTCCCAAATTTGAAGTCATCTGGTCGTTTCTTTCGAGGCTGTGGAGGCTGCTGTCCTGTATGTTGCTGCAAGGAGTTTGAACTAGATCGTGATTCAGCTGCAGTGCTCTCCATGTTAGATCCCTGTCTGCTGCCACAGGTGGAAATGACAGATGGAGTGCTGGAATCTGCTTGGTTCCTCACCATTGATGGGGATGAACAGGAACATAACACCACACTAGACTGGATTGGAACAGCATCATACTGAAAAGAGAAATGAAACTGTTACGTCCATACCTTCAAATAATTAGCATATACATCTGCACTTTATTTCCATAGGAGCATCATATAAAGTGCTATTTCAAAAGGGTTATCATTAAAATGTCTTTAGGAGGCAATGTTAGTATTTATTTTGGAAACGGCAACTCTCAATTTGTTAAATAACTCTGTTTAGGTCATGCTGTGTGCACACAGAGCCATAAGTCAAAAGTCTGAATGCTTTAATTCAAGAATGCTTTTTTTCCAAACTCAAAAAAATGTTCCCTAACACCAAGGTAGCAAATTTCACCTTGGTATATTCTCCTACAAATAACATGATCTTTAAACTTTATTTCATGCTTAAAGACAGATCCATGCATCCAATCTTAACAAGTACTAGTCTTCCTGAAACTGAAAGAATTATCTAGTTATGCAATGAACACCTGTATTCATGAGCAACATTAGTTTAGAGATCCAAGTTACAATGAACTGCCAATAAACAAGCAAAGCATGGAAACTTTAATGGAGACAAAGGACACATTCCCACATTTTTACTTGGAATCTCACTTTCTCCAACAGTATTTCTCTTTAACACACTTTAGGAAAGCACAAGAAAAAAAAAAAGAGAACAACATACAAAAGGCAGGTCAGCTGGAAGGTTTAATAATCAGCAATATCTAATACTTTTCTGAAGAATGCTCTGGTCCATGACCTTTTAAAACAAGGGAGATTACACTATTTAAATTGTACACATGGTCACATAAAGACATCCCAATTCCAAAACAAAGAACCAGATATAACCCAGAAAACAGAAAGTACAAGATACACTCCAAATACTGATTCTTGTAATATACAAAGCAAATCATCATTTGGTACCCTTTTATCGTTGCTTCCCAAGTAAGATCAAGGAAACTTGTCAAGCTGCTTTCCCTCCCTGTTGGTAATATATCTCCATTAGTCTGTCAGGTGTCTGCTTCAAATGTTTTACTTGAAACTGGCCAGAAAACACAGACAATAGCAGGACTCTGCTGAACAACTACTGACAATAAAAACTGAAATGGTATGCAGAGGGAATACTTAAGAAAATTAACACCATGTCTGAGCATTATTTTTTAATCTCAGTATCCTAACTTACATCCAGCAGAATGAAACTATGACTTAATGAAAGTCTCCTAACCTCAAAACAGATGCATTATACAACCCTGACCTAGTCAGTAATATACCTCATGTTGATATTCAAATAGACATTGCTGCTGACAAAAAGAATTTTTTATCTCATGAATTTCAATTTGATTCAAAACAATTTTCTGCATTTCTATCAGAAACCACTTTAGAAGGGAATTGGACTTGCATTCAATCATGCATACGGGCTTAAAGCACCTGGCTCCCAAATTCGCCATTACTCACTTGGCTGTGCTCTGTGCAGTAGGGAAAAGCAGCCCTTATTTACTGCTAAACTTCTTTCAAAAATAAGATACTTCAGGAATACACTTTACTTACACATTTAGTGGCATTACAGAACAAGACAAACATTTTTCTGAGCATGCAAACATATACTTTCTAAATTGAGACAAAGATAACAAGGTCAAAAAGAGTACAACTAAAACTCTTCATTTTCTCCACTCTCCATAATCGATATATAAGTGTCAGTTCCTGCAAGATTGAAAATTAACTATTATTAAGCAACTATTCTAAACAATATCTTCCAAGAAGCATAAGGAAAGATTCCCTTTCCAATCTGAGTACAGCCTACTTGCTCCAGGATCTCTATTGCTCCTCAGGGCTTGTTCCAAGAATGATGGCCACACGACACGGCAGCAGATCAAGAATAGGTTGCAGTTTCTTTTATTAGACCTTTGTCTGAGCTTTGTCATATAGTGGAGACTGATAAGGAATCTGCCTATAACAATAGCTATTGGCTATATTTTGTATAGCTTTTGTGAGGACAAAAGGGAGGCAAAGCTGGAGGAAGACCTGGGAGACAGATGGGAGAACTTTGCTTTTCAAAAACTTCACTAACTCCCCCAGAGCTGTACATGCCCCTACTCAGCATCAGTTACGCAGCATTCTTCCCTTTGAAGAGAAGAAAGCATATTGATGCTATTGTGAAAACAGCACATACACATCAATGTATGTGTGCTGTAGGTCATGGTTCATTTTATGCCTTCTACGCAGATATTTTAGCTGACACCTTCCCCAGACTGGTTATTGTCCCTAACATTCTCATAGCCCAGCTGAATCACCTCTCCTTCAGACGGCTACTCAACAGCAGCCTGTATAAAGACACACAGTAGCCAGAATTAAAAACAGATTGTACTCTTTCCTATCAAGAGTGCATCAAGGCTGACACAAGCATGACTGCTCAACAACTGAAGCGATGCCAATGTAAGAAACATCCCATTAATTGAAATAAAGTAAATAAACACATGCACACAGACTAAATATTAGGATTTAAATGATAAACTGGCTCCAGTTAGGCTACTCTAGGGCAACTAAAGGTTTACAAATAAAGCAGCAGCATTGTAGGGGATCTATTTAGATTCTGCAGCTAGCAACATCACCTTGAAAAAACAAATAAACAAGAAAAAACCCACCACAAAAGCACTGGAGAGCACTGAAAGGGGGAAAAAAGGTGTTGGATGCAGTTTATTTCCTTGCACAGTATCTGGAACTAAGTCACAATGAATATCAAGTATAGAAAAGTCCTAAGGGAAGAAGAGACAGGAGTTTGTAGGAAGAAAAGGCTATTTCCAGCCAAGGTATAACGTCAATTAGTCCCCTGACTTTCTCAAAGGAAAGTCAAGATTAAGAACAAGAAGGACAGAGGAAGATACAATAGATTTAAAGTATCAGTTACCTAAGAAATGACAGAACTATCCAACTAGATATGTCACACCTGCACATTTATAGAAAAGGTCACTCCTACACTTCTCTTTCCACACTCCACACATTCTTGTTTAGGATTTTGTGTCCTGTATCATTTACTTTCTGTTTTATTTTGAAAGATGCCAGAAAAACATGTCTGCAGAGACTATACACGTTTCTACATACATATCTTCCCATATGCCAGAGAGAGAATACAGGCTAGGTCATCCAGGCTAACCTCGTACAGTCACTCTTTCACAAAAAACAGATTTAAGATTCTGCTTCTGCTAGATACAGAATTTGTTATTGAGGTATGAAGTCAATCACTGAAGAATTTAAAAACCTTCTAAAGTGCGTCTGCAGTTCTCAGAAGCTTCAGCATGCTCTCCTTTCAGCAATTATCAACATTTCTCAGCTGGCAAGCCAGTGAAAGCACAGACCCTCACACAGTGACAGACTTACCATTGCATGTCATGGATCATCATGGACCACGCTGATAACCACTGATCTAATTATCCTCCCTCTGCTTCTAAAACCTAGTCTCTAACATTACCTACTTTCCTAAGCTCTTAAGGGGGCTGTTTCTAATTTACTTCCGTATAGAAATTGTTTCCTCCTTAGTGCACATACTGTTTGAAAACCTAATAAGGAAGAAAACAAATCTGCTGAAGGTAAGTGGAATTATAGATCAGACATATCAAAATCTTCATTAACTAATTTTCACTAAATCACTAGAAACAGGTTTCCTTTTATTTACATGTCATGTGAAGCAAGCCCTTATATTGTTCTCTTCCCCTCTTGCCTGCAAACAGTAGAAATAAACTTTAAGAGAAGAAAACTTGAATCAATGCAAAAAGCCCACTAGATATCACTACATTTTTCCTTTTATACTTTCCTTGCTCCCCTTTGTACAAAAAGCCGGTCACGGGCAAAGCTCCCAGCTATCTAAAAGGACCTATACCTTTTCGAATCCTTTTTGCAATTCAGCATTTTGACAACAGCACTACCACTACAGCTTTTAATACATCTAAGCACATAGTATGCATCAAATACCACACTTGTCTAAAGCATGTACTACCACAACTGCACCTCTACTAGCTCCCCCCCCCCAAAATCTGCAACACTGCTTTCCTGATACAGTTCTATCAACAGCAACAAAAAATACTTGTAGAGACTGGGCCTTTTGAAACTTCCAGTATCTTTTATTCCTATCCTAACTGACATGATACTGAACCCTGAAGATGACTGAGGGTATCTTTGCTAACCCTGAAACTCTACTAGCAAAATCTCATTTCTGTTACAAAGACAGTCAGTGTGACTAGGGTCCTACCCTATTGCTTGTCTGGTAACACTGAGTCTAACTGCTGACTGTATTACAAATCTCTAGCTGCATTAAGACATAGGGCAGACATGATCAGAATAGATCTTCTATCCACTTACCTACAAGGCAAATTTTTTTGGAAGCAGACATTGCTAACAAAGTATTATTTACACAAAGCAACATTAGCTCTACACCTCAACTGGTACATTTGTTTTGATTATAAACAATGCTGATGAGACTGTATAAACCAGAACATTGGCACAACCCTCTTATGAATGTTTTTTTATGGTAAACTGTATTACAAGTCTACTAAATTAAATAATGCAGATAGATATTCATAAAACATTTGATTTGGCATTATAAAACATCTGAAATACAGAACACTGTATTTAACACTAAGTAAAACTGGTTAAATTCTTAAACTACTTATAATTGTCATCTCCAAACAAGGATCTCCTCCAGTTCACACCTGGATCGATTCTCAAACAGTAAAGTTTGAAAGAAAAAGAATAATTGCATAAGTTTAAAGACTGAGAACCCCCACACACACACACACCATTTGCCCAAAAACACACACACAAAAAAAGGTGTTTCTCTTACTTAAAGCAATCTACAACTTTTGTTAAATCAGACAAACAGTGAAACCTTACTGATGTCTCTACCAAAACATGACTACAAATTAAAATATGGTCCAAGAACTTAGTCATAATGGTGGGAAACATGTGGACGAAGCTTAAGCTACTCCATACCTGAATATACGGAACTAGAATGCATCAACTAGGAGAAGCCTTACTGCCACTAGCACTGTGCAAACATTAAG